AAAACTATAACAAGCACAAAATGGTTACGAGGTCAGTCCTAAGGACCGAGCCCGGGCTGAAAGAGTTAAATATCTTAGTACACATTAAAATTCACTAGAGAAGAAGGATTAACAGGTATGTGGCCAAATGGAACTGATGTAATTCCAGTTTTTTTCAACCATATCTCTCATGAAAACACTCTCAGAGTTTGAGGTGTAATTAGAAGCTTGTGAGCTTCTGACAACTTTAAATCCTTGTTTATTATCTTAACTATACCACAAGATATACTCAGCTTCATTGATATGGTATTTTGAGTCAAAGGATTTTCTTTGGAAATCATAGCCTTCACCTTAAAGATGAGGCTGTTGCAGAAAAACTGGCTTGGAATGTGATTTCAGGGCCCAATTGGGTCATACATTCTTTGCTGTGGGAGTTATTCTAACTCCCATCTTCAAAACATTGTGTTCTTTAACTTTACATTTTTTAAATATCTTACTTTGTTAATACCATCCTTGTAAAAGTCTGAAAAAAAATCTCCATTCTTAAGTCCACCAATAGGACACTGCACCATTAATACCATCCTTGTGAAACTCTGAAAGCAAAATCTCCTTCATAAGTCCACCAGTAGGACACTGTACCATTAATACCATCCTTGTGAAACTCTGAAACAAAATCTCCATTCATAAGTCCACCTGTAGGACACTGTACCATTAATACCATCCTTGTGAAACTGAAACAAAATCTCCATTCATTAGTCCACCTGTAGGACACTGTACCATTAATACCATCCTTGTGAAACTGAAACAAAATCTCCATTCATAAGTCCACCAGTGGGACACTGCACCATTAATATCATCCTTGTGAAACTGAAACAAAATCTCCATTCATAAGTCCACCAGTGGGACACTGCACCATTAAATGTTCAGGAATTTGCAGTTAACTCAATATAAAGAAACTACACATCACCCATGGCACCATAACTTGTATGCGAGCTGCCATACCTCTGTGCTAACATTAACAAACTGTTCTTATCAAGTGTAGTTAACTATACATGTAACTTTACTTGAATATAAATGCAATACTTTTACTGCGTGTAGTAACTGACCTGTGTTGTATTCTAATCCTGTGGCTGAGTGTTGTGTTACACGAACAGAGGACATATGAGCTTGGTTATATCTGTGCAAGTTTTCTCCTTGACTTCGAACATCAGTATTACTAGTGACATCTGGTTGAGTACTCAAGTCTAGAAAGAATATAGTTTAATTTAAAAATAATGTAATAAAAAGAAAATCATTAGGTCAAAGTATCTATATAAGCTTTGCACAAAGCATACAAACCATAATAGAAAAAAAAAGTTAGTTATATTTGATGCTGCAATAGTTTTGCTTTGATAAAGACAAGCATTTCCTGAACTGCTCTAAAAAGTACTTAATTGCAACAAATTTTATTTATACATATTGATATACAGAGTTGCATAATTAAAGATATTGAATTATTTGTAATTTTTAGCTTTTTTTCTAATTTCACATTAATGTTAATTGCTTAACAAATTGACAGTTTCTTGTATTTATGAAAAGACATTAAGCCTAGGATTAATTCTTATGAATTATGACAATTTAGATTAGCACTGTTTGCTCAAACACACACACTGTTCACATTAACAATGTCTTGATGTTTTGTTCTTAAAATATAAAATCAGACTTCAGTTTTCACTTTCAGGAAGTATCTAACTTAACAAAAAGAGTGCTTCATCTACACATGTCAAAATTTTAAGTTAGCATTTTCAACTAGAAATAAATAAAAGGTTTCTGGGTGTGACACCAGTCCTTCCGATTCAAATAAAGTGAGAAGTGATGCCTGCAACACTTATTACTTCATAAACCAAAAGCTTAGTCCATTTAAACATCTTATATATCAAAGATAGAAACAGATAAAGAGAGAGAGAATTACCAACTAATAAATAGTGGACATTATGTACTTAGTCTAAGCCTTAGCCCCTTCATTTCTTTAACCACCTAGAAAAGGATGGATAAAGGAATTATGAAAAACACATTAAGATTAACTTAGCTTTAAGTACAGTAATCTTACATTTAAAAACTGTTTCAATCAAATCATAAACATTTCATTATATTTGTTTTTAAAAGAATTACAAGAATAGATATTTGCAAGGAAAACAGAGTGGGCAAAGCTGTCAAAAACAAAAGATGTTTTGGAAAGAACTGCCACTTTCTTACTATGACAAACATTCAACCTTGGGTACTCCCTGTAATTTTATATCATAGACTAATGTAACTCTACCATTACTCACTAGGTGTGAGGTTTTGCATGACATCTGCCAGGTTAGTCATTCCTTCATGTCTACTCGCACTACGCTCCAACCCAAAATCTCCTCTTCCACCACTGTCAAAGCGACTATTTGCTTGACGTGGAGGAGGAGTTTCCCTGGCTGAAGACGTACTGGACGTGTCAGACTGTACCCCAAGAACCTGATGAAAGGGGCGAGAAGACCTCTCCTGTTCAGGTGTGCTGCCCTCATTCAGAACACTGTCTTCATCGGATGAAGAGTCTAAAGAAATACATGATGGTTAAACATGCTAAACACAAACTGTTAACAATAAATACAGAACAGAGAAGTGACAATAAAAATTAATAAAAAAAATGAGAAATTAGACAAAAAACTGATTAAGCACCTCTGTAAACAGAATTCTAATGACTAAGTATGCTCTTAAATCAAATCATTAATCATGATATTTGAAATACTTCAAATCAAACAAATTAATATCTTATGACAGTTTGCCAAGGCTCTTACCAATTCATAAAATAATCTTAATAGCTCTTATATATTTTGTTACCAAAGTTCAACACAAAAATTACAGTTCCTTACAAATTACAACATTTCAGTATTTGGTGCCTAGATGTAATACTATAATTAAAACTACAAATCTAATATGAAGAGTAGTTCTTAATGTCAACAATTCTTTTTTAAAGTGAGGTTAGTTTAGTATCATTGCATCACATGAACAAAAAAAACGTATTAAAAAAGTACAGGTTCACACTAATTCTTGCTAGAGAATTTATGGAATCGAAGAAACGTCAGATGAAATTCCAGCCAAAGGCTTAAAGTAAAGGTAATCAACCGCAAAACATCGACTAATTAACAAGATACATATTCACCAACATTTATGCAAAGTTAATGTTAACCTTACACAATATGGATGTTCTCATATATAACAAAATAATAATTTAATCAAATATTTATGAAAATGTGAACTACTGCTACATAGTGGTTCAAAAATTACCAAATCTGTAATAAGAATTGGGCAATTAGTGAAATTTGCTAACATTCAATTAACATAAGACTCAGATAGTTGATATAAACAAAAATAGTAATAATTGGAAACAGTAATTTTTATTAGTTGATTACTTTTGTGAGTTATTACATTAATCAATTAAGCCAAATAACCTTGAATTAATTAAAAATAATAATGAGAAATACTAATGGTAATAGTTATTTCCATTATATTAATTAATCAAGTTAATCACCCAGGTGGCACATTTTGTTGGCTTCACACAGTGGAGTGTACATCATTTGCTGACAATAAAACAATAGAAAGGGGTGAAACTGAAATGGCTGTCAAACTCATTAAAAACAGAAAATGAACCAAATGAGGGGTTTTATAACCCCTGAAATTCTTATGATGATCAAAGGTCTAGAAGTTTGAAAATTTTCATCATAGACAAAAGAACAAATCTACAGCCACAACCACTTTACAGTATAGATACAAAGTAAAAGAGCATTGATCTATGAGCTAGACTAATATACAGTATCAACATAAAGAATTTGACATTTGTACATAAACTATAAAATATCAATAATAAATTTAGGAGAAGAATAATGTGACACAAGTATTGAGTACTTATATTTTATGGATAAAATTTTAAACCCTAACCTGATGGATGTCTCTCTCTAGAAGGAGAAGTGGCCATTACAGAGGTTCTTTTAGAAGGCATTGGAACTGATGGCTTGCCTCTATTCTGCATAGCAGCTAGAGCCTGCTGGACGGCCTCTTGCCTGACTTCTAAAAAATAAAAAATGATGCCAGTAATCTCAGCAAAAGGTAGAATAAATACAATTTTCTAGATACAATAAAAAGAATAATAAAATTTCTGTTAAGATTTATTACAGGTTTTGAAGGTAGAATAGACATAAAAATCAAGGATCACTCCACCATTAAATCATTTAACAGCAAATAAGAAAATCATTTCCTCTGCAATTCAAAACCTAAGGTTTACAGTGCTAAATAGTTGAGCAAGTGGCATAAAGAAGCACAAGTTAATACAAGCTCTTCTTTCCAATCACTATGCTATATTTTACAAATTTGTCAACCAGGATGTTGAGCTGCACTCAATAAAACCATCAGCCCCTAACCTTAAGTATGCTTTAATATCATCATTAAATCATTAACATTTATATGGATTCACATCTGATACAAAATTTTTAAAATTGTCAATATTTTCCACGTCAAGGTGAACTTGAAGCCACACCTGTAATATAACTTGCCTTAGATGCAAATTCTTATGTAAAACAAGTCAATAGAAGATCTGTATACAATGGATATACACAAAAATACATTGAAACTTTACATATAAATTATATGACATTTACACTAAATACCTTTAATGCACACGTAAAAAAATATATTCAAATCGTGTTCATGTAAATTAATAAACTAATAATAAAAATAAACCCAAAAATTCAGAAACCTCATAGAGAATGAAAATTCAGCAAAAAGAGCTCTATACCTCACTATTTTATGTTAATTACCTCTATAGTATGATTTGAAAAATTACCAACTGTTTTATATAATATTATAGATAATAAGAAAAAAGCTTATTATGAAATAATGCTTGTAATTTTATAAATAATTTTTTATGAAAATAACAGAGGCATGAAAGAAAAGGATCTCAGGACTTAATACTAAACCAAACCATCACAAGTTGGCACCATGCCAAATATACTAAAAGAAAAACATGATGATATTAATAACAAGGCTGAGTTGAATAAAAATAAATATCTCAAAAACTGATTTAAAAAAATAATAAAGAGAGATATACAAATACAAAGATACACAAATTAATTCACAATGTTAGAAAAACACGTAGGTTCAAGAAGTCTCGATAGAAGTTAATAAAAATCCTGTAACCCGAGCACATTCAAAAGGTCCACCTTTCGAAAGCACCCGGGTTATAGGGTTTTTATTCATTTCTACACAACTGAATTTTATACTCTTAATGAATCATACAGGAAGTTCAAAACTTGTTGATTTATTGTAGTGGATGTGGAAGGAAAAAAAAAAAGGGATAAATTTAAGGAGTGATGGTATTTCCCTTTGGAATCATAAAGAAAAAACTCCTGTAAACATCTTCCATGGAATTATTGTATGCCTTTATGGAATCATCCTGTACACAACTAGAGAATTTCTTTCTAAAATTATCCTGTATACAACTAGAATGTCATTTTAGAAAAATCCTGTATATAACTAGATGTACTTACGCAGGGCCCCCGAAAGAGTAAGTAAAACTTAACATTAAGAGTAACAAATATTTATATTTCTTGCTTTTGAAGTGCATATGTCATTCTGTGTTGTAGCCTACAGAGTGCATAATTCTTCTTGTGATTCATGGCATGCTCAAGTTTTACTGACATCAAGACAGTACAAACTGCAAAGTTAAGCATCCCTCATGTGATGTCATTTTAGTGTCTACTGACTGAATGAAAGACAACACACTACTGTTTAGTGGTATGAGTAGTTAAAACAGGTGACCCCCTCCAGACAGCCTTCAGCCCCCTTTCAGGGAAATTAGAGAATGTCCTTTTGGGATACTCCTGTATACAAGTGTCCACAGAAAATTCTCCATGGGGGGTGGAGGTATCAAAAGTATATATATACATACTGAAAGAATAAAGAAATGTTTCTCATTTTCCAGGGGAGGGGGCTAGTAATACTATTAGTCGTCAAACATTTTTCAGATTTTTATGTAGACATCATGACAAAAAGAAGTTTCACTGACTTCAATGGTTTTTTGTTTTTTTATGTAAGAACAATGAACTGTTTTCAAGATGACTGTTGAACAATGACACAAGCAAAACTGATTTAAATATTATATTTTGCATGTAAAAATATAGAGATACTATAAAGTTAGTTGGCCTATTCTAACATCTATAATCTAAAAATTAATCAACAGAAAGAGCTAGAGCATCCGAGAAATGAACTAAAGAAAGTATGAGAAAGATGCCAAAAACAATTATCACCAGATGACACTCATCATGAAATTTGCACAATCAACATGCTTACATTGTTCAATGTGGCCACTGTGTTCATGTTCAATATTCCCTTTCATTGGTTAAAAAAAAGTGATAAATAGTTGAACGTTAATGTCCAACTTCCAAGAATTGCAGTTTACTTGGTGTTATATATCTTTCAGGTCTGTCAAGGTAGCAGACATGTTACAACAAATCAAAGATTAGAGGTGCCCCTATGGTAAATAACCAACAAAGGTGAAGTCTGGATACTACGATAGCAGCCTCGTGTGTGGAAAATTCTACTGAATACTCGATCCTTGAATGAATATCAAAGCAATCAATGTCTTGACAGTCCATAGAAGGCAGGATTGGAACTTCAACTTGTATGAAGATAGTTTCATTCAAAATTCCTCTTTGTAAAGGTATGATACCATGTTCCAAAGTACATCCATGCTTAATCCTTTTTCTTCAAATTTGTTTATAAGCTTCCAACAAGCCTCACTGCCTTATGGTCCCCTCTGTTATCCACTTGTTGCTATTATTTTAATGTTGCACCAGTACTTTTTCCATAAATGTAGCAATGCATTATGAGAACTATTCTAATGTCATCAGTAATTTCTAATGGCAATATAAATATTGACATTTTTGAGGTTTTTGGTATACAGTTACTGAATGCAAACTTCACCATAGCACCTCCTAGTGAGAATTATTCTTTTACATTAGAACATCCATTCCCATCATTTCATTATCTCACCTACATAATATTATAGTTCTCTGATGATCAATTTTAAGGTGCTTATAACCCCTTGATGTATGCATTACTAGTTTTGGACTCTAGGACAAACTAAGAACCTTAAACTTTGATGAACTTGAAATAAAAAATTATGCCAGTAATCTCAGCAAAAGCTAGAACAAACACAATTTTCTAGATACAATAAAAAGAATTATAAAATTTCTGTTAAGATTTATTACAGGTTCAGATTCAGATTATCTAAAAACACAATATCTTGAAAACTAATAACACTACCCAACTAAATTATACATTGATTTAAAGCTTTAGAAGAGAGGAAAAGCATGAACCTAACACAACAAATGTCAGACTATCACAGAACAAAATAAAAACAAAAAGTATTTTTATTTTCAACACTACAAATCAACCCCTCCAGTTACAGACCTCTTATAGTGAGGGTGTAACTTTTACATCCATGTTTTAGTATATTCCCTGTAGTATTTTCCAAGCTGTTCTATGTGAATATTTGATAGAAATCCATGAAAATTTGACAAAACTACAATTATTTTTGTCTGTTAGGTAGAGAAAAAGATGGAATGGAGAAAAACACTATTAAAAATGAAAGTCACTTCAAGGTTTCACCATTACTTTAACAATTTTCCATCCTCCAGATTGATCTCGTGTAGTAGTATGTAACTCAGTTCTGCTACATTTAGGTATTGGCTTGTCAATCTGCTGGTTCCCATGGAACTTTCGTTTTCTTCTTCTGACATTCTCTTATTTGCCATTGCAATTTCTTCAGTGTATAATGAAAGGAAAATTCATCCAACTCTAAACTTTTTATCAGTTAATAACACCTTACAGTAGGGATTTAACTTGCAAAAGACAAAAGAGTGAACATAGTAGCCCAAGAAGTATCACATGGAGTTGAACATTGTTCACTTGAAGTTTTGTTAGCTTCACCAGAGTGAAATCAGCAAACAGTTTCAGCACTGTAGTAGTCTTTTAAGACCAGCCACTTTATTATGCATTGAGTTTATGTCACAAAAATTTAGAAAATTACCACCAAAGAGGTTGCAAATTGCCACAAATTCCATTGCTAGGGTGGTTGTTATGGAAAGATTTTAATTTTAAGTTCAGGATTATGATTTTCAATACCATTTTTGAAGGATATGTAGAGGTATTTTGACAAAATGTTTTGCAGAAACTGAAAGTAGACATTTTAAAGTAGCAAATATCTATTTTTCAAAAAAGGGTGAAAAAATGAAAGAAATGGAATAGAAATACCTTAAGTTAGGGATGGTAGAATAAGCCAGCTAACTTTACAATAACCATGTATTTAATTGGGTCCCTATATTTTTAACTTTTTTTACCAAAAATCTGAAAACTCAACCACATCTGAGCACTGTAAAATAGTACTTCTTTACAGTTTTATACCTACATCATACTTCCACAAGGAATAAATAACTATTATTAACTTTAACTAAGTTCTTTTCAAAAGTGTAGTTCCTTTTATATAATGCTGTTTTGAAGCAAGTACAGAATATTATTAGAATCACTTCTGTTTTCCTTCTTCACACACAAAAATGACTAAAATGTTATCCTCAAACTTACTTTAAATATTATCCCTTTTTAATGTTTGACTATGCAAGTTACAATAACAATTACAAAATCATATTGTGACCTGAAGTTACTTTTAGAAACTAATATATAATTTTAACTACACCCCAACATTACATACTTACTAATTCTGTTGAAGATAACAAAGGTGCAGCTAGTATTTTATTATCTTTGCATTATCATAGAACTAAATAACATTTTATGACATATTCTCAACCCCCACATGTCCTTGTTAAAGGTGTAGTCCACTTTCATAAGGTTTTCCACCCGTCCTTACTCTTAGAAACACCAGGATGTTTCACCTTGTCAGTTTGCCATATATATATGTAGAAGTTTAGTGAAAATCATAGCTATACAGTTTAGTAAAAAGAAGATTAATTTTTGATACTTCACTGTCCTTGATTACAAAGTTAGCAATACAAGAC